CATAAACTGAAGGTTCATCTGCCACCAGCCTAAAATCTGTTGTTAGAATGCATAGTAAGATTTAAAAGGTGGGTGTTAGATCAAAATATAATAAATCTATTACAGCAGATTACTTTGCCGAACATAATGAAAACTACAGCTGTAATAGGAAAAAAAGGATGTAGACTCTGGGGTAGAATTGTTATACAGTCTTCAGGATCATTTTGGAGGGTAAATTGTTTGCACTTTTATGCACTATATGTAGCCAACAATATTTTTCTCCCTACTCTCTCTTTTTTTTTTTAATTAAAAAAAAATAAAAATCACTTTCACCGATATCTTAAACAACAACTACTGTTTACAAGGGACAGCTACTTTTACTTATATGCTTACCTTTATTTATAATAGCTAAGCATATCACCTAGTTTTTATCACAAACATTGAAGTTTGATATTCTCAATCAGTATGATAAGGCAGGGGAACAGGAAATCATGTGCAGCATGGACCTTGTGTTTACCCAGACTCCTGAATGTCTACGCTCCTCCCAAGATTTATCAAATGGATGCATGTCGTGCTGTGTCTGAAGGACAAATAATTCAGCTTATTTTTGTATTATTTGACAAATAATTCAGCTTATTATGCTCTGTCATAAACAATCACCAAAAAACCCCCAAATTTTATGGCAACAGAAACCAAAGCATTTATTTGTAATGTTTGTTGAGTGTTTGTTTATTTTTTTTTTAGTAAGGTCATTTTAAGATACTGTAGAGTACTGCCAATGCACTTAAATGACTGTTATTCTTCCCCTCTTACATGCAAACTATGTGTTCATATGCAATGGCCTTGATATCGTTATCGGATAAAGGGACAGGGGAATACTATGTCCATATTGTAGAGAACTGTGGCACAGCGTGGTTGCAGGGGGTATGAAGCTACCGTTGATAAGCTGTCTTTTATATGGGTCAGACTAACCTATTTAGTTAAGTAAGAAACAAAATAGCGTCTGTTTTAAACCATAAATGATGGCCAAGAGAGATTTTTCCTAAAGGTGTTAGCAGTATTTTCATCATGAGGACCAGCTTTCAAACAAGTTAGTGAAGCACTAGAAGAATCAGTCTGGGCTCTAGCAAACATGGAAAACAGGCACTTGAAGCCAATGGAGTATCGTGGCTGGGATTGTAATTTCAGTCAGGTTGATCTGTAGAGTGAGCAGGTACACACTGAGAGTAAATTACAGCTATTTTCTTACAGACATGGTACAAACAACCCCGTAAAGAGGATAACCTTTAACACCATTGTTGAGTATAAAATAATAATTTGCTGAAGATGGGTTGTAGAGACATGAAATTGTTTAGTGAAGTGTATTCACCCTATCTGCAGCTGATTTTCAACAGACTGCCATTGTGGTTAATGTTTCAGTATCTATAAAAAAAACTTCTTTTTAGACAATTAAATATCATCTTTCCTTAAGTCTATTTTCATGAATATTAAAGAGAAATTAATACATTTTGTTAGTAATTAATACAACATATTGATGTTTGAGCTACTTTTCAGGTTAAAAATATTTCCAGAAGACATCACAGGAACAGAAGAAATAAAAATTAAAAGTTATCTTAGTGTAGAACACCTACAACAGATTTTAGCAAGATGTTCTCAGGAAATTGTGTTCTTTTGTTGATGAGGTAATATAAACCATATATATAATATATGCAGTGTAATTTAAGATACTTTGTTGACACTGATGTTGTGGTAGCTTTACTAGGTGGAGGATGTGACTAAAAGTTTAACAGTCTTCTATTCTTAATTTAGGAAAGAAGTTTTTCTACAAGAAGTAATCAAACTTGTGGCAATAGCAATCTCTCAGATAACTTTGTATTAGGCAGCATTTATGTTGTATATTAAAAAGAATGGTAGAAATGTTTTTCCCTTCAAGAAAAATGTAAAAATGGTTTATAAACATGTAATATATGTGTGCTTTAATATAACTGTTATGCTAGTTTCAGAAGTTTGTGCTATACAACGGGAAGTCTACAAAAAAGAAATGCTGTAGAAAATGTTGTCTGTATTCTTTCTTCCCTCTCTGAATATGTATTGTGAGAAAATAAATGAGTTCATAATTCCTTAAGCTTTAGATCTAAAGTGAATGTCTAAAGTGTATTATAATGTCTTTATTGGACTGTGAACTACCTTTAATACTTATTTCTATGAACTCTATTTTGAGTTAAAAGTAGGAAAAGCAACTAATTACTACAATGCTTTTTGTGATTGTGTGATACATAAATATTTTTTTCTCTAAATTTACACTACTTTCTATAATCTCTCACGTGCAAAGGTTTTCCACATTTAATAAATAAATAATCTTCAATATTCTAATGAACATTAACATCATTATTGTCTTTGTAGAGGCGAGAAATTATATTCAATTCTTGATTGATCATTAAAGTGAGAAACATTGTCCTGTGCCTTAAGGAAAAAGAAGTTGTCAGTGTGACTTTTTTGTCCATTTTCCATTTCTTTTTCTGAGGCGTGTAGTGACTCATCAAAGATACTGTGACAAATCCATGATTTAACAGATATTATTAAGAAATAAACTGTTTTACTTGAGTATCTCTAACGTAAGAATATCTCTTTACAGTTTTAGAATTGCAGAATGAGAACTGTTTGATCAAAAATAATTTACTGGGGATAAAATTTGGACGTGGCAACTAGGTCTGAGCATTATAGTATCTAAGAAATAGAATTTGTCTACCTCTGCCCCACCAGGAGTATAGATAAAATGGTGTTAGACTTCAGCTGCACCAGGGTAAAACCAAACTGTCTTTCTCTGAGGATACCACAGACAGGGAAGTTATCTAGGGGAGACAAAGATGGTACTTGTTTTTCTGGCCCAGTCTTTTGGAGTTCACCCAAATTAATTAGAGTATGTTAAAGTTAAATGCTCTCTTCCCTCCCTACCACCTGGAGCCTGCATCCACTCAGATGGAAAGCTTTGCTCACTGCAGCTCCAGAATGGCAAAGGAATAAACATGTTTTCCTACTGAGTATTTCTGCATTAGACCCCCTGAAAAGCAGTCACATAGAACTCAACTCTTACAAATTGTATGTTCTCAATCTCCATGCATCTGGCAGGTAAGGACAAATGTACAAATACCATGTGTAACTTAGGCTGTCAGTAAATACAGTTTGTTTGGTTTTTAATTTGTTAGTTCAGTTGTGATTTTCAGATAGCTACATAACAGGCAGCGACTTTTAGAAGAAAAAAAAAAATGCTAGAGTAGTTTTGATTCCTAAAAACATTTTGCCCACTTCCATGATTTAACTTCTGTCCTAGAAGACCTTCTCTTCTAGATCTGAGTCTCACTAGGGTAGTGAGAAGCATTTAGGAACTCTTTCTCTCTCTACCTTATGAAATGGTGATGGAGGTGTACATAGTGGTACAGTCAACATAAGAATGCATATACCATTAAATACACCAAAATAATAAACTCCAGTCTCATACATGTAAATTAGACATTTCTTAAATGGGATACACTTGCAAAACAAAACAATTGCCTAAGCAGTTTCTGTGAGGTAAATAATTGTTCCTCATTAATAGTTGTATCTTCATCATAGCATCTAAAAAGAAGAATGGAACAAAGTTTTCTTTGTTAGTCAGTGTATTGCTCTTGATTTCACTACTTGGAGTTAACTTTAGTAGCTACCTGTAAATACATGTTTGCAACAAATTCACGGTATTTTGCTGGTCCACATTTACACATTTTATCAAAAAACTTTTGAAATACTAAGGTTCTCTTAATAAAAACAAAACCTTCTAAACTGTTTTTCTGTTAAAATTAAAGTATACAGCAAGTGATATAAGAATACCAGACATACACTATGGAATCATAGAACAGTTTGAACTGGTCATCTACACAATAGTTTAGTAAAGATCATCTAGTTTGATGCCCACTGCAATGAGCAGGGACATCTTCAACTAGATCAGATTGCTCAGCCCAACCTGACCTTGAACGTTTCCAGGGATGGGGCATCTACCACCTCCCTGGGCAATCTGTGCCAGTGTTTCACCACCCTCATTGGGAAAAATGTCTTCCTTAGGCCCAGTCTAAATCAATGCTCTCTTAGTTTAAAGCCATTACCCCTTGTCCTATTGCAACACACCCTGCTGAAAAGTCTGTCCCCATCTTTCTTATAAGCCCCCTTTAAGTACTGGAAGGCTGCAGTAAGGTCTCCCCGGAGCCTTCTCTTCTCCAGGCTGAACAAACCCGCCTCTCTTGGCCTGTTCTCATGGGAGAGGTGTTCCATCCTTCTGATCACTATATTGTGCTTTGGTTTAGAATATATAGTGACTGTAATCACTGTATGCAGGACATTTTCTGTAGCAATTTCCACTTTATAGAAGAATCGATAATGAAAAGAATAAACTAGATCTTTTGAAAGATATCCTTTATCTTCATCTGGCAATCCCACCTTCTCTTGTTCAAATAGGTTTGATATGTCTAGTAGATTAAAAGGTAGAGCTAGGTTATGAGCCCTCAAGTAATTTCTACTTTCTGAAGTCAAGTATTATGAAATATATTATTTATAATGTATCACTTTCATATTTGCAGATTTTACTGCATATATTACACTGCAATATTCACTTTATGAATGTTTATATGAAATGCTTTACCAAAGGTAACATTTAAAAAAATCTTTAGATGCATCTTCCTAGAATGACCTAATTGATAGAAGTACGCACTTGGAAACTGTTAAAACTTTGAAAACTTTATTTCCAGACACAGAAAATTTTGTCTACAGAAAGTGTCTAAAAGTACAGTAATTTTTTTGGCCTTACTCTGAAGACCAGACAAGCAAATGGTATGGATCAAACTATTACAGAACAAAATCCTTCCCTCATAAAGCAACCCTGTTGGTGGTATTATAGGAAGTTAGTACTCTGCTTTTACAATTATTTTAAATTTACTTTTAAACTTTTAATAAGAAATTAAATTCAGAATAATCATGTGCTGTGTATTTTCTTTTCAGGGGATAATTGCAAACCAACTGAATACACCAAAGTGAAAAATATGTTACTGGATCTACAAAATCGGAGATACGTTGCACAATCAAAAGATAAAACCATTGATGAGAAAATGGCTTTAAAGAAAATTCTTGTAGATCAAATGTTTAAATATTTTGATTCAGACAACAATGGACTTGTGGACACTAATGAATTATCGCAGGTAAATTTAGGTTTTTGTTTCCATTAGCACAGTAGCTCTTCAGTTGTCTTTGTCAGGACTTACACAAATGGAAAATTATGTCTTAGGATGTTTTCACTTTAGAAAGTATATATGAGTCTCTGAGGTGGAAAAATTGATTCAAGAATTTTTGGAAAAGATTAATTATTCAGAAATTTTGTAGTGATTATTGAAAAATTTGAATACAGTGCTTTGGGATATACTTAAGGGGTTAGAACACTATAGGTTGCTTTGACTATGAGTTGTTTTAGTAGCTATTAAAATTTAGTTGTTAACAGACTCACTTATCTTGTTTTTCATCTTACACAAAAACAAACTGGAATTTAATACAAAACTATAAATCCAATGTCAGTGTTTCTATTACTGTAGACTGCTTGATTATATTATTGTTGCTGTACAGATGAGAAAAAACATCAGAAGTGTTATGGGGAGACATGGGAATAAAATGTGCTTTTCCAGTGATGAATGCAGTTATTCTTGTATGGTGGAATTTCCATTCAATAAACAGCAAGTCTTTTCTGGTTACCATTAGTTAAAGATACATAAGCTCTAAGAATACATCTTGCTCGACAATGAAATTCAAGTTCCTTCTGTGGGTGAAAGTGAAATATTTTACTTTCCTGAAAGTTAAATAAACTGTGTTCCCTGTGTTGTGCCACTGAGATCTGAAAGAAAAAAACTAAATTTAACAACTTCAGGTTTTATTTCTGTGTTAATGATAATGCTGTTGCACTTTATGCCACCTGATACTTCATGGCACTTGCTTGCACAGATACAAGTAATGTAAAGTTCATCTTTTCTGTCAACTTTGCTTCTGTCAATTTTGGTTTCTGAAACTCTGATGGAAATGCTTTGTGGAGCCCTGGCCTTCAAATTTTTACCTTTGATTTTTACTTTTGATTTTGGATCTTATCAGTTGTATTACTGTGTGTTATTTGGCAGACTTGGAACTAGAAGGGATAATAAGCCTATCTCCTCTTTTTGAATTTTGAATCAGCTTTGGTGTTTCCTACATGTGGCATAGGCAGAAGCATGTTTTGCCTGTTAGGCAGAAAATAAATAGAACTATTGCTTATTAACTAGGTATACCTTATTATTTAGGTTGTATTATCTATTTTTACTATCATTAATATAAGAAAAACTGAACACGCATTTTATTAAATTCTAGATTTAAAATAGAAATAAGAATCCTACATGAAACTTTAAAATTGGGGGAAAAGAGAATTTTTTGGGGATTAGTAGTGAGATACAGCTTACAAACCCTGCAATCATAGTACTAAACCCTAACATCTTGATCTGTGTTTTCCACCTTTGCTTTTATCAAGTAGAAGTACTTCCCATTATTTTCTTGCATAACGGATAATTCAGTTGCTCTGCTGGATTAGAATTTAGTTATTTAGCTACTAGAATGGTATGTAAGCAAAAAAGAGCTATTAATAGTTGTTAAAATGAGATTTATTCTACTCTATATCTAGGCATTACATTAATACACTTGTGTATATATTTACAACATGTGAATATTTCATATACTTGTGTAGACAGCTTGTAGTCTTCAGTCCAAATGGAATGTTTGGGATCCTCAGAAGTGTGTAAATATTGCAAAACCTAACTGCTAAGTGACCACGCATCTATGAATTACTCGGTTTCTGGCTAGGAACAAAGTGCATGCCTAAAGCCTGAGAAGAAATGTTTTTAAACAAGAGGACTTTAGACGCTACAGTCTAGTGATTGGCTAATGAAAAATATAGAAGAAACAGTTTCTGAAGCTGGGGTTACCTAGGATATCCCTTTCTCTGGCCACTGACCTCGAGGTTAGGCCAAGCGGTTATGCTTCTTCGGTTACTTCTATGTGGCTCAATGATTCTTAAATTCTGTTCTATGAAACAGCATCCTTTGAAACACAGCAACAGGCTGTGAAGGAAGCTGGACCAACTTCATTTCCTGGGTAGGTCCAAGGACTGGTGCTAACTGACAGTGGACACAAAGTATAATGGTGCAGGATTTTGTTTGCACTCATCTCAACATTGTTTTCTTTTGGTTAGCTCCAAAGCCACAGGCTCAGGGTGCTGGTAGTTCTGCATCTGATTCTGAGGTGCAGAATTTTACCCATGCCATCTGCGTGGTCCTAATAGCTATCCTGGTCCTATACTGTGGACTAGACATCTACAACTTCAGTGTTCTACTTGCAGACATCATTTACATCTTCTGACTCAGATTAGGTCTCCCCCCTGCTAAGTGTGGAAGGGGAAAGGCAGGGCAGTGTGACTCTCTTATTTGAGTAGTTTGCAGAGATAAACCTCCTATCTGAGCAGCATAACTCAACTAGTATGGGACAGTATTGAGACAATACCCTTAGCTGAAATTGAGTCCATGCCCTTTACATGCCATTCCATGTAGGTTTACCAGTTCAGATCTTTGTCTGCTCAGGGATCTCTGTGTCATGACACATTCTGTGACGCAGAAGTCCCATATATTTACTCACTCTACCTCTAATTCTTGAAGGTAATGCTCTACTATAGACACCAAATAAAAGATGGTGTTGCCGTCCTATGGAACATGCTGGTAAACTGTAAGAAGAATGCTGATTTAACTGAGTTAAGGGAATTTAAAGTAAGGAACAGTTTACCAACATTTATTATTACTTGGATTTAATAAATTATATATTTTTTTTAGCTTCCACAAAGTTATTCTGCTATGGAAGACGGTGGAACAAGGTAATTGATGCCCCTCGCACAGTCAGAATTAATTTGGAGCACATTTCCCACAGTGTCTGGTGTTTGATGTACTGTAGATCAAGCACTGAGTGATACTGTTGTGACGAGATCCTTGCTTTTAGGAAAGATGAACACATTAACTGAACAACCACATTCACTTTAAAGAAAAATTTTGTATTTGTACTTCTGTAGCATTTTCTTTGGGGAAGTACATAGAGAACATCAATCACAGGCAAGCAAAAAACCACTGACTGACAAAAATTTTGGTAAGGTGAACTAATAAAGGAAATGTGTTATTTCTGATCTAGTTTCATAACATCTGCAGACTTTTCATTGTGTCTGTCAGAAATCAAATTGAAATGAATGAAACAATCTATTCTGACATGCTGCTTGTCATTTTTAATCAGATTACCTTTCCTAGTCTCCTGAAATTTGGAGTAGTACTGACTAAATTCCCCAGAGGTTTTGAACTTAGCTAACAGTATGCTGTTTTATGGGAAATAAATAAATGTGTGTATATCTTTAAAAAATAAAATATTTCCCAAATAATACAAATCCCTCCTCCATATTTCAAAGAGCATTCAATTCTCAGGGATAAGGTTCATAGTTTAGAAAAGCCACTTTAATTTGAAAACTTAGAAAAATTTCTAAGTTTGCAGTATTTATGGGTTTTCACAGTGAGCTGTAAGCAGAGCGGCAGTTTTGCTGTGTGTCTTACCTTTTATTTGTTCACAATATGCAAAGTAAATATTTGCCTGTCTTTATGGAAATGTAAGGTAATATTTGTGACTGTAAATATTTGTGAACATTCTCTGTTATGAATTTTAAACTCAGAAGTCTGAAATAAAATATTCCCATGTATAACCTATATGGCATAATCATGAAATTGTGCAGATGATCTTAATCAGGCTTTAACCTTTCTAGTAAGAATTTTTTCTATCATGTGACCCACTAAAAATTTTGCCTGTTTCTATACTGCCTCACTAACTAATATTGTCTGTTTAGTTTAACCAAGGAGTAGACAAGCCAGGTTTAAAGAATGGTCACAAAAATCAGTTTCCTTGAATTTTCTCTCCTCCATGGATAAAGATTAATAGAATTTAAAACTTAAGGCACACTGCTAGGTCGTCTATGATATGCCATCATTGTAGGGTGGTTGGACTAGATGAACTTTAAAGTCCTTTCCAACCCAAATGATACTATGATCATCTAATCTAACTTGTGTATCACAGACATGGAATTTGATTCTATTTGTCCTACAGAATTAAAAAACCATAATGTCTTGCTTTTTTCTGAAGCAAAAAATGTCTACAAGAAAGTGTGCAGTCTTGATTTGAAAACATCAAGGACAACTTAAGAGTCCCAAGATTCAAGGTTAATTGTTTCTGTAGCTTTTCTTTTTTAGTTTCAGAGGTGTTATTCATTTTTCTTGTCCTATTAACTTCTTTTTTTTGCCCAAATTAAAGCATCCATACTTTTTTTTTTCTCCTGTGAAAGTACCCATGAAATGTGATGTAGTCAGTTCTTAATATCCCTTTAAAAAACAAAAGCAAAACTCACAAAACCTATAAAGATTGATTTTCCTCAGCTCTCTTAATGTAAAGTGCCTTCAGCAGGCTCCTGATTGCTTTTATGGATCCTTTCTAACTTGAAAAGTTCTAGTTTCTCAACATTAAATTTTAATATGTACAAGTCAAAACTGAATGTTGTTTTTCAATATCAGTCCCACAACTGCCTTTCTACCCCCAGTTACCTTATTACACTTCAAAAGATCATACTGCTTCCTTAGGCTATGGAATGATCCTGGAATTTGAGAGACTTCTTTATCCACAGCAAATCCTGCCTCTTTTTCAGACAAAATGCTTTCCAGGTCCCATTTATTCTCATTAAGGTATGGTCTAGGTTCTTATTTTTAGAATAATGACTTTAGATTTGTCTCTATGAAAATACAAATCCTTTTCCTGAAAGCATCTAACTATGTGATCCATTTCATTCCATATGCTGCCCTGTCCTTCTCATTATTATTCACCTCAAGAGTATATACCATCTGCCAATTTTCTTTCTATTTTCATTTTTAAATTATCAAAAAGGATTGAAATGAAACCCCAGGCTTTCAAAATCCCACTGGATTGTTTCAGCCATTGATGATTCCTTACTGACATCTATTTTTTCAGGTTTTGCAATTACTGACATTATTATTCATACAGTATATGTGCCTTATTGATACTGCATAGTATTATTTTTTCTCTTGTAATGATGTAGGGTGTGAAATTAAAAATACCTACAAGAACTTCTTATCTTTAGCAAGCTACCTTTATAAATTAAATCCCTTTCATAAGTACAAGAAAATGAAAAATGGGGTTGTCTGACAGGCTGTATTTCCTGGAAGATGGTGTTAAAATATCATGTAGTGACAGCATTTAGAAACCCAAAAAATGTTTACACTCTTTTATTTGTGAATTCCACTATTTCTTTGTCTAAACCGATACTGACAATTTTTCTTACCCTGTTTGAGTATTTGCACTGTGTCGTCATATGTCCTACTTTATGGAGTTTCACTGATATGTGAAGATCTGTTAAAAGGTAACGTAAACAAGAAGGTCTCCTCAGCCAGTGAGTTAGGCACTCCTGTGAACAGGCAGTTTGATTCTGATGATTTTAAAACACTTGATGCTAACATAAGTTGCTAAACAACTTCTCTGTTGGCTAATGGCTTGGTAAATAGTCAGCTTTGGTTTGCTAGAGTCTCATAGAGATTGTAATTTCATATCACAGTCAATCTGATCTAAGTGCAGGCTGCTACAGAAACAGGTAGTTTTTCAAAAACCAAATCCCCACACCCTAATACCTGTTCCGAGTTGTACTTCTTGTGATGGAATTTAATCTCCCACCCCTTCAAGAGAAAAAAAACCCAACACAGCCAACCAAAACCTCCCCAAAGAATAATTTTGCTTTTGATCAGAGAGTTGATCTGATCCACAGATCACATTGCAGAATTGGGAGATGGGTATATCCAGCACAGAAGAAATCCTGCTGGGTAAAAATCGGAACAGCTCTTTCAGCAGCAAATCACAGATAATTAAGACTAATCATGATACGAAATCACTTCTGTTACCTTCTAAAATCTGTCCTTGTGGATATTTTTGCAAGGTTTATCAAAACTGAGTGAATTTTCCAAAGAACCCTAAAGTATATCACCAGCATAAATATGTCTATATATAAACAAAGATTGACTCATATATCTCTAATCAAAATTACGGGTTCACTGGAGCTGAAAATTAAATAATTGCCAGGGGGAAAAAAATCATACCTGTCCATAATATAATTCATGGAAATATTTCAATAATTCTGATTAATAATTTTTAATTTATTATGTTTATTTTAAATAAAATTGACCCATTGTAAATGAAAAGCATTGTAATATAGTTTTCACCTCAAAGAATTGATGCTGAGAACACTAATATGCCATTAAAAATGTAGAACTATAGTGGCAGGTGTTGATAGGTTTTAACAAATATTTTATTGCACTATCTTAAGTGTAAAGTTTTGTCCTTGTTTGTACAATTGAAGCTAGTGGGAACAAGTGTGTGAAACAATTTCAAACCACCTTTTTTTAAAAACAAGCAAGAGAACAGTATTTCTCACCCTAAATGTTCCTTTTTCATGAATCAGCTATGTTTTTGAACACATTTCATGGCCTTGACATCGCAGAGATTTCTTCTAGAATGAAGTTTTCAATACACACTGTTACATCTTTAGTACTGCTTGTATAACTACAATGGGCTTGGAGTTATTGATTTTTTTCAGGCTACATTTTTGTCCTCTATGTACCAGCTGTAATATCTAAACAATTTCATTTTTTCTTAATTCAGTTCAATGTGAACTTAATAAACAGGCTTCTAAAGTATGAGAAGTAGCTAGCACTAAGATTCAGGTAGCGTAGTATGTATCTTTAATAATAGCTAAAGCTGGTTTTGTGGTGATTTTTCTTATCTTTGTGAATGGTTTTCATACTTTCTAATGTACTTACAAAGTTATCATCTTTTATAATGTTATTATATTAATATATATAAGATTACTTCTGGTAGGATAAAATGTTTGTGTCCTTTCTCTTTGCCTTAATGCTCCTTTTATTTTCTATTATTTGTTTAGAAATTTTCTATTTGTATGAATAATAACTGAATTAATTCCTTCCTATTCCATCCTGCTGATTCCTTTGCAGAGCAACTGAAACACAGAGACCTCTGTATCCCCTGTCATTCATAAGCTATCATATGCTAATACAAATGTAATGGCTTTACAGTTATTTTGGGAGACGGGTAGAGGGTAGGAAGAGTAATTATTTGACAAAGGAATTAACTATAGTTATATTCATTTTTACATGTGCCTGGTACAAAACTTTAAACTGTGCAACATTACAAGAAGGAGTTGCATTAGGTTTGGTTCTTTCAGTTATGTGATATTGTTTTTAATACATGTACCATGTAAAATGAGAATTCTGAATATTTGTGGTTATCAACATCTTAAAAATTCCTTGGATGGAATCAGGGTAGACATCTAAAGCATTTACAGACTTTAAACCAAAACGGTGCACAAATCAAAGAACATTTCTCTGGAAGAAGCTCACTGGAGTTAAAATCTAATAGCTATCAATTATGATCTGTTTACAAAGTGTATGCGACCCCATTGAGGAACAGGAACCTTTTCAGGTCAACTACTTTCATAACAGGTTTGTAACAAGGCTTTGGGAAGATAATAGGCTTGTCAAAAGCCTGTAAGAAGTTGATACCATTAGTAGGGTAATACGAGCTCTTATGTTAGTTATTTTTGAAAATGTCTGAATTTGTTTTTTGTCATTAGGAATTAGACTGAGAGGAAAAATACATTACATCATGTGTAATTGGGAAATTATTATGTCAAGTATATTTGAATGTTTCTTAATCACTATTCCTATATATGTAAAGTAAAATAAGTTTTAACATCCACAGTGTCTTTATAGTGCTTCTGTCTATCACCATTATATATATTCTCTACATACTCTAAAAACTTTTATGTCATCTCAGTGAGTCTGTCCTAAAGGTATTAACTTTTAAAACTGCAATAAATAATTACAAAGTAACTGGTAATTCCTGGCTTTACACAGTTGCAGTTCATTGCCCCACAGCAACCTTAAAATGATCTATTAAATGATTATTAGAAACAATTAATTATACCAGAGAACTCTAAGAGCTCAAATGTAATTTCATGGTTATAATTTTCTTGTCAGGTAATAAAACGGGATGAGCTTGGCAAGGATCTGTCTGACTGCTCTCTGTTCGATTTGCTGAAATACGATGATTATAACAGTGACAAGCACCTAGCTCTGGAAGAATTCTATAGAGCTTTTCGTAAGTACAAAGATTAGACAATTCTTTCAGTTTTCTTTTCTCTCTTGCTTTGTTTTTCTAAAATAGTATTTTTTTAATTTTTAAATCTTGATACGTCCTGATGCTGTATTTAAACAATGAGCACAATTCAACAGTCGTGACATGGTAAAGAACTCCTTAGCAGAGATCAACGAGATCCATTAGTGTCCAGATTTCTGAGGGATTTTGGTAATGGAGAGTTTGTAGATAATCTTTCTTAATGCTAACATGCATTGATAAGTCTGTGTTGCACACAAGTGGGAAGTAGTGTGGTCAGGATATAATCAATAGAACCAAAAAAGCTAGAACACTTCCCCACACCCTGTATTTATGAGTGCTGATAAAAGCATGTCTAACAAATCCTGCAACAAATGTACCACATCTATTAGGTGCTTTATGTCTTCACAGGACTTGGAGAGAGATACAGATCTGTGGTGTAGTTTTGCCAGGTATTTGTTCTCTGGCTGCCAAAGGTGACTGGGGACAAATGTGTACAGTACATACAAACATCTTGACCAAACCACTGGGTATAGGTCAACATGATAGTGAGTAGCAGAAACAAGAAAGACGTTAAGAGCTTTGATACGGTATGTTACATGCAATATGAGATACCTCTATATGTTTTGTTATACCCAGATCAAAACTGATGATTTTACCTCTAATGTACCTCAAATCTAAGACTGAATCTTGAAATCTGACTTTAGTTTCAACAGCTGTTGCTCCACATTCAGCAACCTAGCAGCACAGCAGATCAAGTTTGTGCTCAGCTCTGCCTGTAATTATACTTTGATTATGCATTTAGTCAATTAATATATCTCCATTGTGAGTCATTACAGCCTGCTGCTTTAGTCTTCTTGTACTTTATCTTTGGACAACTCACAGCTCTTAGCCACTTTAGATGATGCCAACCACTTACAGCATTTAAAACTAAAAAGTAATTAATGGATATTAGGAAAAAAAAAGGCTGCATGGAAAGCAGTAAGAAAAAATATGAAATTAATCATCAACAAAGACTGCCTGAAAGTTTCCTGGTTTTTCACATTGAATTGTTTTTATTTCCCAGTAAGTCTTTTGGATTTTATGATCCTGCTTATCTGAACTAATGGCTTAATGTTCCTAGAAAAATTTGATCCTGCTTCCTGACATTAACTGACTGCCTTTCTTGCAGTGTCCTGACACTCACGGTCTCTCCTTTCACTCACTCTACTAAATCAGCAGAAAAATGTTCATCCTCTACATCCCAGCCCCAATTCTGCTTATTTTCTGCCAGTTGAGTGACCTGAATTGACTAAGAGAAGGGTCAGACCACAACTCATGCAAAAGGACTGAAAGGGGAGTACAGCCAAGAAATAAAGTGGGGAGAGGGAGAGATGAGACTTTGTGGCAGTGAGATAAATTGAGTCATCTGTACCAGCAAAACACTAGAACATATCTTAATTCCTTTATTAAAAGTTGTGATACAAGTCTGATTTACCAAAACATACGAATTACATAGCATTTATAGAAACGTAACCGTACATTATTTAAGATTATATGGATAGATGTTGTACACGTAGATCTTGATGATATGCATAGATGTGGAATATACGTGGAAGCATGTAGGATATATAGCTCTCCAAGAAGGTTACAGATATGTTTAAAGGTGTTAGCATGCTGTTTGCAAACACTGAAACCATGCATTAGTGGAAGCATAGACTCACAGAATAGTTTGGGTTGGAAGGCACCTTTAAGGGTCATCTAGTCCAACTCCCCCTGCAATGAGCAGGGACATCTTCAACTAGATCAGGTTGCTCAGAGCCCCGTCCAACCTGACCTTGAATGTTGCCAGGGTTGGGGCATCTGCCACCTCTCTGGGCAATCTGTGCCAGGGTTTCACCACCCTCATTGTGAAAAATTTCTTCCTTATATCTAGTCTAAATCTGCCCTCCCTTAGCTTAAAACCATTACCCCTTGTTCTATTGCTACAGGCCCTGCTAAAAAGTCTGTCCCCGTCTTTCTTATAGGCCCCCTTTATGTACTGAAAGGCTGCAATAACATCTCCCTGGAGCCTTCTTTTCAGCCCCCCAGCTCTCTCAGTCTGTCCTCACAGGAGAGGTGTTCCATCCCTCTGATCATTTTTGTGGCCCTCATCTGGACCTGCTCCAAGAGGTCCATGTCTTTCCAGTGCTGAGGGCTCCAGAGCTGGACGCAGGACTCCAGCTGGGGTCTGAACAGAGCAGAGGGGCAGAATCACCTGCCTTGACCTGCTGGCTACGCTGCTTTGGATGCAGCCCAGGATACGGTTGACCTTCTGGGCTGCAAGCGCATGCTGCCAGCTCATATCCAGCTTTTCATCAACCAGTATCCCCCAGTCCTTCTTGGCAGGGCTGCTCTCAATCCCTTTATGCCCCAGCCTGTATTGATAAGCAGGGGTTGCCCTGACCCACGTTCAGGATCCTGCAACTTGGCCTTGTTGAACCTCATGAGGTTCACAGAAGCCCACTTCTCCAGTGTGTAACAGTGTTCTTCCAAAAAAGATTTTGATGTGCCTCTGAGGGACTATTTTGCATAGCTGTAAAACCCCAGACATAAACATAGCTTTTTGTTGTATATTTTTAATACCCTTTTGTATAATGAAGATAATTTCCATATGGTATGTTCTGCGTTGACAGAATATGAATGATAATGGAAATGTGAGGTTATATAAAGTTAGGAATTATTTAGGGCTTTTTGTTGCAATACAATAGTGAAGAAGACCCTATTTAAAACTATAAGGGTATCTTAGAAGATGATTTCTGTAGCAAGAATCATTCTTCTATGTACGTTTTTTTAACAAACTGTCTACTTATTGCATTGTTTAAAAATGAAACCTAAAAAAAGATACTATTTCCTTGTATATTGAGTGCCTCACAGGCCCAAGGAATGTCACATGCTATTAAACTCTGTAATTAAGGCAAAACAAATACTCTTAAAATAAATTTGAGGATTAACTCTAGTTCCATTGTATGTGTTCTCTAGAGAGTTTGAATTTGATCATTCTGACCTACATCAACGACATTAACAAAAATTACATAATGCTGTAAAAGTATGCTAAGCTAAGCAAAACCAAAAATAAATTAAATGATTGCCACCTCGTGATTCGTATACTGCTCTTAAGGTTAAACAAGCTGACCCCATGCTGAAACCGAGCTCTTCACACAAGCCAAGCCAAACACAGGCAAAGCAAATGTCCAGTCCTGTGTTCTTTGCTTAAGGCAAGGATTTAGCAGGATATAGAGAAATAATATAGAGAGGGAACCAGATCCATGTAAGGAAATATAGGCAAGAAGCACTTATGTCATATCTTCCACACCATTCCACATACAAGTAGCACCTCATTTATGCATCAAACTACAATAGAATTAAACATTTTAATTTTCTTCAATAAAGTGAAATAAGAATGTTGAAAATATTTATTCCAAACAGAAATAAAACTGATTTTTTCCCCAGAATTTTCTCTACCTAGTTATTTCAATTTTGAATTCCAAGGTTATAATAGTTATACTGTAATTATATATTATAATTTTGAAATTGTAATCTTGTACAGTATGGAAAAGATTGTTTTTCACCAGCTTGGACACTTTCAAACATGTAGAACAAATCAAAATCAAACAAGAAGGATTTTTTAAAAACATTTTACATAACTATGTCATGAGTGAGAGGTTATAAATGAGTTGCAAGGAATCATCTTCTAAACTATTATGGTCTTATTTGTTATTTAAAGAAGTTTAAAAGACATAACTGTTATTTTAAATAAAAAACGCTTGTAGAATTTTTGACCCCTTCCACGGTCCTCTGTCCATTGAGCTTTACAGTGTGTTTGTCTCTGTTTTTTCATTCTTTTATCTCAATTTTTTTAATCTACATTCATAATCTAATCTTTAATACCTGCTACTCCCAGTGGATTTGCCTCTATCCCTAATAGCAGCAGAGTGGCAGCTTTGAGATCTGTTGAACTCTCCTCATTAAAGTTTGCCTGCCCAACTGCTGGAACAAGAGTTACTGACACCTATTCTCTCAGAAGGACAGTGGAGAAAATGTGGGTTTGCAATGCTGGAGAAATGGATCCTATTCAAAACTGCTGCACAGAATTCAGAGGGGGTTTATTTATTTATTTATTTATGTAACTCTAGTGAGTTGCTTTTTAACTATGGAGAGGGAGTGGAAGAAAGGGCGTAGAAGGGAAACAGTTTTAATGCCTTTTTTGTTAAGACAGTCATATGAGCACTGAAATGCTGGGGCTGGGTGGTAGAGATAGGAGAGGGGCAATATGGGTCACAGCACCACAGTTTTTATATATGGCAATTCCCCAAGGGTATTTTTGAAGCCACTTTGTACCTAAAGTTGCTAAAATATAAAATGTACTGTAGATAACAAAATATACTTTCAAGACATATTTGAATTTGGTGAAGACGAAGCAGCTCTCTCTTTCTAAATGTAATTGCTCATTGGCATCCTCTACTCAGCACAGGATCATGCTGCACAGAAGAACTTGTGAAGAAAACAAGAAGGCTGGAAAAGGGCTGAGAGAAGGCATTAGGGGTATTTGTGTCAGCAGCCTGAGCATGGTCATTTTTAACTGTGATTTCAAATGGTGTTTAAAAACACTTGGATAAGATTTTGAACACAGCTGGATAGGATTAAAAACCATCTTTACCATGATGTTGAACAACCTGCTCCTTTAAAGTGGATTATGCAATTATATTTTATTTAAATACGAATGCCTATATGTGGGATTAATTATCAGTACTGCTTCATTAGCATTCACAGTTAGGAATTTTCTTCATTGTCATACTTAATTAGAAATTTGACTGTCATCTAAAGATTGTAAATGTAGAATTAAACACAGATGTAAATTGTACTGCTTTATGAATAGTTCCCTACAGATAACAGCAATTCTGTTGTTTCTCTAGTGGTACAAAATAATCCACTTTAAGGGCAAAGATTAATCATTGCTTGTTTCA